CGCCGCCGCCGCCGCCGCCGCGCTCGCTGTCCCCATCTTGCAGGCGGGAAGACTGAGGTTGCTGCGGGGAGCGGCGGGTTTCTTTACAAACAAACAAAGTGGGGAGGGGGAGATGGGAATAATCGAGGAAGGGGTCTGCCTTCCACCAAGCGAGGCAGTGAAAGGCAGCCGTTAACCTGAACGCAGGGCATCTGTAAAGTCTGTCTGTCTGTCTGTCTTTCTCTTTTTCCCTCCCTCCCTTTCTCCTTCCTTCCTTCCTTCCTTCCTTCCTTCCTTCCTTCCTTCCTTCCTTCCTTCCTTCCTTCCTTCCGATTAATTCCTTTCCCCTCCCCTCCCCTCCCCTCCCCTCCGCCTTCCTTTCTACACTGACGTGGAGTTCACCATACGCCTGGCTCCGGCTTCCCGGTTTCGCCCCAGAAGCCCTGCCCCTCCCTCCTTGCGTCCTGGGCCCAGGTGGGATTTTCCTTCAGGGCCCCCCTTGCCTGGGAGGCTTGCTTCGCTTCTGTGCTTCTGTGCAAGAGGAAACCGCAGATCGCTGGAGAGATCCCAGAGGCTCACGTCAGTTTCAACTAAAGCCGCATGTTAAATCCATTCTCCTGAATAAATACTGAACTGGAAGTCGGCCGGCCGGATGTCTCCAGTTTGGGGCATCAGGATGCCAAAGCGACATTGTTGGATCAGGCCAAGCGCTTATTTAATCCCTTTCAATGGTCTCTCCTTATTGCTCCCCCCTCCCCGCAGCTCCTACCTCACAGCAAAAGGTACTCCCAGGTAGATTACTTCTAAACATGGAGGTTCTAGACAGGATCCACCACCGAGACCAAAGATTTAAAGTCTTCTTTATCAGGGAGGGTAGGACCCTCAAGAACCCCCATCTTTCATACTCAGCAACCCAGATGGGTTAGATGGCTTACTCCGCTATCCATCGTCCCCTGCCACAGGCTGGCAGAAGGTTAGGATAAACCAGGGTTAATCAAGGTGGGCTAGCTTATTCCACTGGCGATTGCTTTATTCTTCAGAGACCCCCCTACTGTAGAAGCCGTTTGGAAGAACATAGTAAAGGTGGGGAAAACTCACCTCATTCTTCTAGTTTTAACAATAAAATTTTTAAAAAAGCATTTTCTCCTCCAAATCCCCGGGGTGCTAGTATTCTAGGGTTGTCTGTAGTGTGTGTGTGTTCAAAGCTTTCTCCTTTTTCACTTTTATAACCTAGGTCAGTGTTTCTCAATCTCAGCAACTTTAAGCCGTGTGGACTTCAACTCCCAGAATTCCCCAGCCAGCATGCTTTAAGATGGGTGGACTTCAACTCCCAGAATTCCCCAGCCAGC